TAAAAAGCAAACAAAAATAGTCAAATATTTGCAACATTTACATTATAGTTATTTACCGCTTTTTTAATTATATTGGCGTGTCCGGAGCAGTTGGCATCTCTGCAAAACTTGTAGAATAAGGATAATTACGCATACTAATGAATTTTTACAAAGTGTCACAACGAGAAATCTACCACTAACTTACATTTCATTTAATACCTTGAATATTTGGTATACGATGGTGAAGAAATTACATTAACTGAAAAATGCTAAGCTGAAATAGCTTAAATTTTGTAATCACTAGAAATATCAGAAGTAATATCAGACTAGGATATCAACTTTTCGCAAGTACGTTTTGAATTATATCTTAAAAATGTAATGCATTGGAATAAAAAAATTTGAATAATGAAGATTTGGCGATAGATTAAAATCTCACTTTTTAAAAACTGTTCAATCACCCAAATAATAATATTACTTCAGAAATAAATATTTTTCATCTTTAAATATTTCCTCTTTAATACAATGGCATAATAAATATATGTTTTTAAATATATTTAAATGGTTTTACTACTTTACAGTATATTTTATTGGTAATTTTGTCATTTTTAAAAATACAAAATGAAGATATTTTATAAATTATAAAACAATTCTGGTGATAGAGGATATTTTAAGATGGAAATAATAAGTTACATATTAATAGTCGTCAATACTTTGTAATTATGAAGATTAACTTACAGACTTTATTATGTGGTTTTTAATTAATTGATTTGTATTATCCCTTGCGAAAACGCATGATTTTGCTGTGACGTAAGAAGCACGTATTTGCCAACTTCTCTCTCTGGTATTCAATAGAAACTTTCCGTTTTTGACAGAAAATTTATATTGAATTTTTAAAGCAGTGGTAAATTTTGTAATCGTTTATTTTATTTTGATTTAATAAGCTTGATTTACTTGAATTTCGTTCATCAATTTGCAAAAACAATTCAAACTAGTAATGTCAGTTCTGATGATTGCGCTAAAAAAATTAAGAGGAGGAAAACTTAAACTATTTAAACGTAAAACAAAGTTAGTATCTGGCAAAAAAATGATAGTAATAGAAAGACGTAAAAATGATAGTAATACTGACTTTCACAAGCATACTTTTACATCACTAAAATTATATTACGGAACATTATTTAGTTTAACCTTGGAGCTGAGCAAACAGCGCAACTCGACATCTGTACATATATATTGAGAACTTTCTCAATTACAGTTTTGGTACTTTTTAAAATCAGTCATCTTTACATCTGTTTTCTTGCTGCTTTAGAAACTTTACTAACTACTTAATTACTTAGTTAATGATGTAGACTTGATGTTATGTATCATTTTTATATCTGGACTCCTTCATTTACAATTCATGTTCATATATCAAGCTCCAAACTTTGTTACAAACATCCAAATTTTGATCGTTTGAAGACAGATTGAGATAGTTATGAAGCGGTATCACGCTGACGACTGTTAGTTACCACGCTCGCACCCAGAGCATCGTGCGGATGCTGTCAAAACACGGCACGCATACACACAAGACATTGCGTGGATGACGTCTAAACACGGCGCTCATACTCACAAAACATCACGTGGATTCCCGTTAAGTACGGCTATCTATATATATATATATATATATATATATACAGTGGAGCATCGTTTATACGACGATCACTTATAGGA